CCCCAAAACCCCAAAACCCCAAAACCCCAAAACCCCAAAACCCCAAAACCCCTTACTATATTTACTTTACTGAATAATATTAATAAATACTTCATTAGAATGTGAGTCAAGTGAAACACCAACATTTGTAAGAACACCAGCACTGAGTATTGCCTAGATCATCAGAGACCTATTTGATTTAAGTGAAAATCTGACCTACATTTCGAGTGTAAAGTGGAGCATCTAGTCAGTCCAGAAGAGCTAGAGTACCAAGTAGAAAGTCTAGGATATCTTCTTAAAACAATGAAGAAGTCCTTCACTCAGTTTAGTCTTGAAGACTTCTACCCTCAGTTTGAAGAGATCATTGAAAGTATCCAAAACGAGCACGAAGATCTTAAACAGGAGACTTTAAAAGAGATCAAAGACAAAGCATTCTTGAAGTTTGCAGAACTTGAAGTCAAATTTAACTTACTTCGGAAAAAGATTCACGAAGATTATATTTTGAAAGACCTGATGAGTCATATCTTCCAGCTAACAGTTCTTAAGGATTTCGATATTGAAGCTATTGGACTTGAGATACAAGAAGATGATAATCCAGATTATGACGAGAGAACAACTGTAGATAAAGATGCTGATTCATTAAAAATGGTGAATAGTATTTCTAAGAAAGAGAATGCAGAAGATAGTAAGATTCAAGTGCAATCTCAGATTATTGAAGTATTAAGACCCAAATACTTCCAGACTTGCAATCCCAATAAATTTCTGCCTTGTCTTCAGCTGAACTGATTATCTCCACATCACCTAAATTTTATGAAGGAATGTATTGCTCAAAAAACAAAGCTCATCAAAATTAAGAAGTTTTGCTTTTTTACTGATAATTCTCAAATACCACTACTAAAAGAATATATCGATGAATGAATCCCTGAAGATTTTTGAGAGACACTGATTTTTGATCATTCACAGAATGAAGACAAGGCTTATTTCTCAAATTACTCATCATGCATAGAAGAGCTTCTTTACAACCCTCCAAGCACTCTTGAGTTCAAACAATACATTTTTGAGAAAGAAGATCTTGAATATTTAAAAAGTATGATCCAAGAAAACTCTCTAAAAATAACTCTGGCTAATTGCTGGAGAACCTTCCCCAACTCCCTCACCTTATTCAGATTAACCAAAGAAGACCAATGCAACTACTCTCTCCACCACATTGAGCCTCTATCCAGTTTCTGCTAACTTTATTTCCATATTTATTTTGTCTAAAGGGGTTTTGGGGTTTTGGGGTTTTGGGGTTTTGGGGTTTTGGGG